CATTGGAGTCTAAAGGCCTTCGTTTAAGTAAAACTAAAACTGAATACATGGAATGTAATTTTAGTAGTAATAGCTCTAGTGACAGAAGTGTGACTTTGGGTGATCAAATTATTAAAAGGTGTGAACGATTTAGATATCTTGGGTTAGTTGTCCAAAGCGATAGTGATATAGATGGAGATGTTAATAGTAGAATTCAAGTTGGTTGGTTGAAGTGGAGGAATGCTTCGGGCAATGCCAAATAATACCAATGTTGTAGTTTTTTTTCTATTTCCTCATTGTTAATTGTTAAAAGATTATATGAACATAAAAAAATAACATTATAGGAAGATTTATATCATTTTCAATATCTGAAAAACTCGAATTTCTCCTGATATAATATAGCTTGAAATTGAACTTGAATAATAAAAAATGGGAGATTATTTTATGCATCTTCAGTTTGAAGAAAGTTTTGAAAATCAGAAGTCAAATCTTTGTTGGAGATTATTTTATGCATCTTCAGTTTAAAGAAAGTTTTGAAAATCAGAAGTCAAATCTTTGTTTTATCTCTCCATGAAGATGAGGCAAAAAGAGGGTTATAATTTTTACATGGTGACATTCTTGGAAACGAATATTATTTTAGAAATATGATTAAAACATTTATGCTCCTTTTCAGTGAGAACATAACTAACAAGCACATATTTTATTGCCTAGGATTCATGTTTCCCTCGATTATGATTATGAATGTGAAAAAATATGGTACATCCAAATATTCTTAAAGGCAAAAATGACAAAAGTTAATTTGTTAGGTAAATTTTATTAAAAACATTAAAGGGTGTTTTAAAGCTCAAAACATAATTGGGCGTTCCATTAATGATAAATGTAGCAGTAAGAACGACTTCACCCAAAAAGATTTTGACACTTGATAAGTAAATTGCAAGCAATGTCCAAGTTACTTCTAATACATATTTGTTTTTTTTTTCCAGCTGCATCATTTTGTTATGTGGTGTCAACTCAAAACCTTTA